ATTTTCCTTCCCAGTAGTTATATTCAAGCTCAAATCTCTCAAATCTTCTTTAACTAGTGCTAAGGTCATTTTAATTGTGGCTCATGATCTGTGAGCAGGGATCCTATGTCCTACTTGAGTATTCAACTGATTAACACTTTAAGAAAACCTCACAATTAGTTTGTCCTTTCATATCAAATCAGGATGACAATTCTTGCCATTTCTGACCCTTACAAACATGTCATATAAAACTTGGCCATTTCAAATTCTGAGTCTTCATTGGCAATCAGAGATCATAACTGTCAACTGAAGATGCAGTATTTTATATTTACACTACACTGAATTTCCCAAGAGCCAATGAGTCCATAAACAGGGGTAATAGTTTCTAGTACAAAATTTCCATCTACCAATAGGGAACATAACTGGAAAGGGTATGTTTCTCCTTGGGCAAAGCAATTTAAAACACTGCGATTACCAAAATCTTTATGAAGTCACCTGAGTATTAGAGAAAGAGCATGGGTTTCTAAGCCAAGGGAGCTAGGGCTAAAAACTCAGGTTAGCCACATGAAGACATCTTGGAGTCCAGTACTATCACTCTCTGAGCCACAGAACCCTCATCTTCAAGTGAGGAAAACCCTGACCTTACAGGACTACGTTGTGGATGGATCACATAGGGCACCTGGGAAATGTTAGTTTCCTTCCCTTCGTCCCAGGGTCCCACACCCAATGTGTTGGTCCCACACTACCCCTAGAACTACCACCACCGCCGTGCCATGAGCTTCCAAAACAAAGCTGTGCTAAAAGAAGAAATGGGCTTCTTGCCCTCCTTTATGAGCCATATTTACATCATTATAGCTTTCTGGTAAACAGGTAGGATTCTTTCCAACCCTAGAGAGGCATTGTGAGAAGCAGTGTGCATCACCACAAACTTGCCCAAGTCCAGTAGAGATTCCAGCCTCTTCTACCTAATTCTAGCTACAAGTTCCTCACTCTAGCTCCATTTTCCTAATGGATAATCTGTTCTTTTGCTTCTCGGTTTCCACTTGGACATTTTTTTCTCCCTTTCCTCATCCCTGATTAAACAGACTGACAAACAACTTTCTAACCTAGAACACAAACCAGAGGTCTCGCCTCTGGCAGCTCTCTGCTGCCCCCTCTCGTCAAAAAGTGGAACAGGTCTCCTCTCCAACCAAAGTCTTCAGGAACGCTCAACGTTTACTGAGGGCCTCCTGTGTGCCAGGCACTGTGCTAAATATTGGAGATGCAATAGAGAACAAAATAAGAAAATGTCCCTGCTCTCATGAAGTAATAAAGTAAAGTGGGAAAGCCAGGCACTCATCAACTAATCAGATAAGTAAATGTAATGCCAGAACTCAAACGTATTATGAAATGCAAGTTCAAGAGCCTATCAAAATAAGGTCAAGGAATATCTTCTCAGAGAGGTCCTGGAAGGCTTCCTGGAAGTAGTGACACAGGCTGAGATTGAAGATTAAGTAGAATAAACAATGAAAAGGAAGGAGGAACATTCCAGAGGGGAGGCCACACATGTTCTAAGATCTATGTGGGAGCACAGCAACTACAGAGGACCAGGAAAAGCCATGTGGCCAGAGGAAGGGGGAGAGCTGAAGAAGGGCAAAGAAGAGGCTATGGTGTGGCTGGATGAGCCAGAGGCCACTGTTGTGGCCCACATAAGAGCTTATAGTAGTTTAAAGGTATTAAGGTAGAGGCTAGGAGAGTGCAAACATTCGAGAAAATATTTAGAAAATATTTTCAGTATTTAGGAAACGAAATCAAAAGAATTTTGTGTGGATTGGATATGTAAGGAGGGGATGGGGCAGGAAGGCTCCAAGAATGCTATCTAGTTTCCTGATGGATAAACAGACACATAAACAGGTGGACACTGCAGCCATGACCCAAGTTTGGAGGTGACTTTGTGATCCATAAAAATGATGCTACACAGACCCCAGGTTGTTCAGCTACAGAGCTCAGAAGAGAGGTTTAGAGTGAAGACACCAGTGTGTGCATGATACCTGCATTTGGGCTGCAGCTCTGGTCAAGGAGGAAGCTGCCTAGGGTGGTGGTTCTCAACTACTGAGTAAGACCCAGGAGGATTTTTCAAATTTTCCAGGTGTGGGGAGATGAGAACAGGTGTCTTACAGTGATTTGGAATTGCTACCGCCATTTAGTAGGAGGGGAACCCAAGATGCTAGATATCTTGCAAGGCACAGCACAGCTCACAGAGAAGAAAAGTCCCATGTCCCAAATGTCATGAAAGTTAAAAATCTGCTTTTAATTATCTGAGCCTGGAATATAAATTCATCTTCCATATAAATACCAAGTCTTGTATTTCTTGCCTAGTTTCAATTTACATTGACTCTTCCAGGAATGTAAATTTAGGGGAGAGTTGACTGCTTTTGGTATTTTTTTAGTGTACTTGCCATTTCAGAAAATTGCATCGCTGCTCATGGTGACAGTACCCGTACATCTATCAGTCTAGAGTGTCAGACTCCACATGAAGGACACCCACATGCACAACCTATGATTCCACACAGAGTCACAAGCTCTTGGCTACTTCATTATGCCTTCCATACAGCCAAGCACACACGTACTGAAACACCCACTAAACATAAACCATTTTCTTTTCTATCACAGACAAGACAGTGTATTTTTTTTTAATTACACATTGTTACAACAAGTGCGTATTTATGCTGATGGGACTGTGAACCACTGGTCCAGGGAGAGAGTCTAGAATGAAAAACAGGATTGAGTTTTGATGACTTCCTACACTTAATAGACAGCTAGAGAAGGGAGGCTTTACAAGGAGGAACACTAGAAATGCAGGATTGGAGAGGCTAACAGAAAAGGTTATTTAGGGAAGGAAAATGTAGTTTAGAATGTCAAATGTTGCTGCAAAGTCAAAAGATGAAGACTGGAACATGCCTTCATCTTACTTAGCAACATGGGGGATTTGGCAGCAGGGGTACTTCAGCAAGAACTGTTTCAGTACAGTGAGGTGACCAGAGCGGAGAGCTGAGAAGTGAGCAGAGGTGGCTGGAGCAGGTGGGGACGGCTGTGATGTGCTTTTTGGAGACTTTAGGTTGTGGAGGAAAAACGATAAACAGCATGAGAAGTGAGTAGGATTTTTCATTTTGCTTTGTTGTCTAAAGGAAAGATTTGCTTACATATATTTGTTAATATGACCTTTGTCTCTCCAGTGGCAACTGATAGTATAGGCTCCTTCCACTCGGAGGAGCTCAGGTAGGCTGAAGTCAGCAAGAGAGGAAAGGGCACATGTGGGTCACGGGCAGCACCTGGAATCAGAACCAGAGCTCAGACTGTCCGCCCTCTTATGGTATGCAGCATTTCAGAGAGCCCCCAATCCATCTGAATGGCTCTTAGGAAATTAAGTTCAACAAATGCTGGGAAGCATGCGGAGAAATGGGAACCCTCCTACACTGTTGGTGGGAATGTAAATTGGTGCAACCATTGTGGAAAGCAATATGGGGGTTCCTCAAAAGACTAAAACTAGAAATACCATTTGACCCAGAAATTCCACTCTTAGGAATTTACCAAGGAAAATAATATCTCTGATTCAAAAAGACACATGCACCCCCATGTTTACTGCTGCACTATTTGCAATAGCCAAGATATGGAAGCAACCTAAGGGTACATCAGTAGATGAATGGATAAAGATGTGGTATATATACTCAATGGAATATTATTCAGCCATAAAAAGAAATCCTCTCATTTGCAACAACATGGATGGACGTAGAGGTCCTATTATGATAGGTCCATAATAGAGGACCTTTTATGCTCAGTGAAATAAGCCAAGTGGGGAATGTCAAATACCAAGTGATTTCACTTACTTGTGGAGTATAAAAACAAAGCAAAACATAAGGAACAAAGTAGTAGACTCAAAGATACTGAGAAGGAACTAGTGCTTACCAAGGGGGAGGAGTTGGGGAGGGTTGGGGTGGGGAGGGAGAAGGGGATTAAGGGGCACAATAATTCACAATCACAATATAGGTTGGTCACAGAGATGGAAGTACAGCATAGAGAATACAGTTAATGGCTCTGTAACATCTTACTACTTTGACAAACAGTGACTGCACTGGAGGTGAAGATTTGATAATATGGGTGAATGCTGAACCACTCTGTTGTGTATTTGAAACCAGCATAAGATTGCATATCAATGATACTTTAATTTAAAAAAAGAGGAATCAAGTTCAACTCCGTGAGTTCTGAAGTAATCCCTCACAGTCTAGTTTCCTATAAGCAGCTGAACAGAAAAGGAAGTAGGAAAGACTGCTCTATCTCCCACCTTGCATCCAAGACAGAAAGGAGGCCATTAGAAAACACTACACAGAAATTCATAGTCAATCATCTTAACATATGGCTTAAGATTAGTGAAATGTATGAATGTTATACCTCAATTAAAAAGTTAAACATACACTATAAGCACTCCCAAATTTTAAATACTACACTGTGTCCCTGAAGATCACTTCTCAAAGGGACTGCTGAATAAGGTTGGCTCTGACCACACACCAAGTATTGCCTGTGTCTGTGCTCAGTACTAAATGAGTAGGAAAATATGACAGGGAAAAATAGGAACTGTGTGGATTCCATTTTGGCGCTAAAGATTTTTGGAAAAGTTTTGACCACTAGCTATGAGACTTACTACCTACTTTGATCACTAGCTATAAGCAATCTTGTCTAACAGCTTGAGACCTTGAAAAGGAAGCACAGAAAATATGCCAAGATGTAGAAAAAGGCAATTCTTTGTTCAGTAAACAGGTTGCAAAGTTTGCTCACATAGTGTAATTCAGATCCTACAGAGGAAATGAAGTGTATCTTCTGTATAACAATCCAGTTTCTTCATAAATCCCCATCCACTGGGCATAAAGGAAAAACAACAGATTCAATCCAATTGAACAAAAACCCTGAACAATCCTCTCGGGTACTACACGTTCTCTCTAGATAAAAACACCTGTCGGATTTCCTGATCTGACCTCCTTCCCTACCTCTTCTCCATAACCACATCTGCCAATGGAAGAGACGTCCGGGAACTCCTGTGGTTTCCCTCTGATTTCTCTGATCTGCCAGTGAACATTTGCTGCTTTGGGGCTGATATCGGCACCTGGTGTAACTTGTAATCTGGTCCCCATGGGCATGGCCAGGCCCAGGGCTGCTCCATGGATGACCGAGGCCCCCTCACTGCTCACCTCTGAGGATACCCACATCATTTATGGTATAGCTGAGACTCTTTTTAGAGTGTCAGAAGGCATTAACTGGAGAGGATTCTGGGAGTGCAGGTGAGGGCCATGCTGGATGAAGTACAGGGTATAATCACCCTGCATCTGATACTCTACCAGGCCTAGACGTTTCTAACAGGAAACACCTAGGAGCTGAGTACTACAGTCTTAGTTCCTGTTATGTTAAAGCAGGGGCTAAAGAAATGCAGTAAATCCCCTCAGGAGAAATTTGACTTGAGAAGGCTGTTATTATCTCACAGGAAACACCCGATATGAATGTCAAAGTTGGTTATAAATGTCAAACTTTTCTTCTGTAATAGTCCTACTCTCCCCCAAAAACAGATGGATGCCTCAGACCAGCAGAGAAGACAGAAACCTACCCAAAAGGGAAGCCATCTTTTTTATCTGAAAACCATCTCTACTGGTTCAGTTTTAACCCCATTATAATCCTATTACCATTGCTCCTTAACTTTCTATTAGCACATCTGAATACAAACATGACAACAATCCTATATATGTATACACCTATCAACAGACTGCCAAATTACATGAGGCGAAAATGAAGAGAACTGCAAGGGGAAACAGAAGAATCCACTATTATGGCTGCAGACCCCAACATCCCCTATCAGAAATGGACAGATCCCACAAGCAGAAAATCAGCAAAGATATAGTTGAATTCAACAACACCATCAACTGTATATAATTGACATGTATACACAACTTTATCCAGAATAATAAAATACACAGTCTTCTCAAGCTTACATGGAACATTCATCAAGATAGGACCACATTCTAACCACAGACATACCTTAACAAGTTTAAAAGAATAGAAATCATACAATGTGTATTCTCAGACAATGGAATTAAACTAAAAGTCAAAAACAGAAAGATAACTAGAAAACCCAAAATATTAAACATCACACTTCTAAGTAATTGCATGAATCAAAAGAAAAACCTTAAGAGGAATTTTAAAAATTTTGAATGACATCAATGAAAATATAACTTTACAAAAATTTGTGGGATATAGAGAAAGCAATGCTTAGAGGTAAATTTATAGCATGGATGCATATGTTAGAAAAGAAAAAAAGCTCTACAATCAGTAACATGAATCTTCACCTTAGGAAACCACAAAAAGAAGAGCAAGTTAAATCAAAGTAAGCAGAAGCAAAGAAATAATAAGAATTAGAGGAGAAATCAATGAACTTGAAAATAGGAAATCAATACAGCAAAATCAATGAAACCTAAAGCTGGTTCCATGAAAAAAATCAATGAATCAATAAGCCTCTAGGCAGACTAAGCAAAAAAGAGAGGACACAAATTACTAATACCAGAGATGAAAAGGAGACATCACCACAGATCCCATGGACATCAAAGGATAATAAAGGAATACTATGTTAACTCTTGGGTTACATTAATAATTCCCTGTCATTACTTATTGAGCATCTACCATGCCTCAGGCAGTATGTTATACACTTTACATGAATTATCTTAAAACTTCACAAAAACACTAGGAAACTAGAATTATCCTCATATTACAAATGAGAAAAAAACCTTAAAGAGATTCAGTAATGGTGCTAATGTCACAGATCTAACAAGTGGTGGAGATGAATTCAGCCTACCTCTTAATGACTTTCACATCCCATCTTTCCATTACTCTACTGGGTGCTTCAAGCAATTTGGGATGTATAGTTTGGTTATGATATGGATTGACCATATCCTCTCTCTGCCAAAAAAAATGCCACCATTATCTCTGCAAAGGATGAAAATGTATAAAATTAGATCTGCCTTTGTTCATGAAGAGAAGTTCTTTGTATTCTGAGTATTTAATAATAGTTTGGCTAAGTAAAAACAACTGTCAGCTTCTTTCTTCCAAGGGATAATGTGATGTAAAAATAGAGCATAATGGGACGTTACAAAGAAGATACATGCTTCCTACAATTCATGACAGAAATGCATGAAGCAATGGAAGAGGAGAAAGAGACGACAAAAATCTGAGCAGTATATAAGGCTGAGCAGGTATGAGTACAGGTAACAAGGAGAAACACTTCATCTTAAGAAATAATCCAGTTCATATTTAAACCTAGCAAATCTTTCCCATGTGCCAAACCTCACCACCCACTATGCCACCAAAACCATTACCAACCATTTCATACACTGACTGTGTCTGAGAAAATCAACGACTTGTATGAACATAATGGCGTCCCTGGTACCAAATGCCAAGAGTAAGACAGAGGAGCGGCAAAGGGGATCAAAGTTACAGGATGAGCAAAAGCAGAACTAACTTGGTTGCCAAGGAAAATAAAAACACTCATTTCATCTTGATGCTTTCAACTGCTCTCCAGGTGCCTGACCAGGGAGCACCTGGAACACTGACAGCAGAAGCTGAAAGTAGACAACTTGGAAAACTGGAGTGTGACTATTTGCCTTCACTTCAAACTTTGGGACAACTTAACGAGGAAGCTTGCAAATTGATTGATGTCGTGTATGACAATGAAAGCTAGAACTTAGTTGCCTTGAGATAAATAGAATAGGGGCCACCCTAGTCAATCATGTATCAGGACATGAGTCTCTGAAACTAGGAGTTCTACAGTCACTAATCATAGGGGAATTTAAAGGAATCTAGGAATGTGTGCATTGTGGCAGAGAGCAACTCAAATGACCCTAAAGACCCCTTAGGCCTCAATAGTTTTACAGCTTTATGGCAACATGCCCAATTCCCCCCAGAGAATGTGCGTTGTGGGTCTGTCCACTGCTGGGTGGAGACAGCAGAGAAGCATTGCTACCTAATTCCTCCCGGACCAGGCTTCTTCTCAGCAACAGCTAAGTAGTAAGAATCTTATTCTAAGCAGAAGCCCCTGGTTCAGACTTTCAGTTATCAGCAGATGCTCTATTAGCCCAGTAACTAAGTGCTTCTGAAAGATGAAATTGTGCCCATGTGGCCAAAAGAATACCCTAATTGCACAAGTCCTTTCAAATAATCATCAAAATTCACATTTTTAATTATAGATTTCCAATTCCAACATAAAACATTCTTGGAAACTTTGTCACAAGACAGATGTCTTAAAGATAATTTTATTTTCCCAAAGGCATAATGTTATAATTGGATATTTTTTTTACCAAAGATTAAGCATAAATAAATCACTGTCATATATAAGCAACAACAGGATATAAAACCAAAAATACAGCTACAAATTCCCATGATGGAATTTAGAGATTTTATATTAAGTCATAAAACATTAGTGATGGAAGGGGAGCCCCCTGAAGAGGCCAGCCTGGAGCGGTCCCCACCACTCTCGCCCCCAGACTGGCCACGTCATTATTACCTGGGACACTTGATAAAGAACACGGATTCCTAGACCTCATTTCCCAAGGTGTTGATTTGGTATGGGGTGGGAAACAAACACTATGTTTTTCTTTTAATTTTTCCAGGTGATACAAAAGAATTCTGGTAGATAAGTCACATAAATGACACTAGATGTTTTTCTTCTAGATTCACTGATTAAATGCCATTGGTACCAATGGCTCAATCGCTGTTAACAAATGAGTCTGAGGCATCTGCATTCACATTTATAGATGTTAAAGTTTTTGGCAGTGAATTATATGACTATCAGTTGTACACTTAGATTTTAATGAAACACATAGTTACCAGTGATGAGGATGTCAAATTTAGATGTCTAATATTCAGAAAGTAAAATATGCAGATGTCAGGAACCATAAGGACTAAATATTTGTAAGTCTGTGGAAGCAAAATATCTAGGGATCAATAATTACTGACATATTTTTTTTACCCATCAAGAAGGAAATGAATAGTGGCATATATGTTTTTTCTGCATTGTAGTTGTGGTAATTTGGTAACATGAGGTTGAACTAAGTGTCTGAGAGGCCACGGAGTTAAATGAATATCCACAGTTAATTTTTCTCTTTGGACACCTGCATATATGGAGCTGACACTACTAAGACATCAAGA